TTATTCTTTATAACAATAGAGTCGACTGATATAATCCCTGATAATGGTAACACTGAAGAAATAAGTGATGGCGAACAGTTTGATGGAGAAACACAAATTAACAATGACAATGGTAAGTTGCATCATTGATTTCATATTGCATGTACTTATCTTTCAATAGATTTTAAAGGTGATGAAACTGATACTGAGCCTACAAAGCAAGGTAATGACTAATGAATTTCTCATGAATGATTTCAAAATAACTTATAGATGTTGATCTGAAAGCAGAAGCAACTCAGGCTGATGGAGACAAAGAAGGTATGATTCACTTTAATTTATATGCTCCATAACATAAGGATGATACTATTAAGTGTCTTAAATTTTTATTTTTAGTTGCAGAGCAATGCCTTCAGCTAAAAATAGGGCAAGGAAAGAAGCTTGCCATCACTCTCTCCCCTGACAGTGGGAGTGGTGTGGTGTACACTCGTTGGGGAAGGACACATTGCCGCAGGGGAGCAGAACTAGTCTATGCTGGATACGCTGGAGGCAGTTTCTATAATGAACGTGGAGGAGGAGCTAACCTCTTGTGTATGCCAACCACTGGTGTGGGACATCTCAGCACTCAAAACCCTGGACACCTTTCGCTCATTTATGGATCAGAGTATCAATCGTACAACAAGATCTGGCATAATCATGATTACAACGTTCCTTGTGCCGTGTGTTATGTTCCTGACAAATCCACTAAACTGCAGTTGCCTGGTAGGATCACCTGTCCAGACTCATGGACCCAGGAATACAGAGGTTACATCATGGCAGAATATAAAAACCATCAGAGAAATGCAGTCTTTGAATGCGTCGATGAAGCTCCAGAGAAGATTCCTCACACCAAACGCAATACAGATGGTGCACTGCTGTACTTTGTGACACCAGTTTGCAACAGGGGAATCCCTTGTGGTCCTTATCATCCCAATATTGCTATAACCTGCTCAGTTTGTACTCGCTAAAAGAAGCATCATCATCATGATCTTCAAATGATTTTTGGATATGGAACATTATAATTAATTATTATCATAAACTTGATAGGCCTGTAGATATAATAGTTTTAGTATCAGCGATTATTTTGTAGCTGTTTTTTATAGAAAATTGTTTTTAGTTTATTTCAAATGCACTTAATTAGACTCTGAACAATTAAAAGCAATGATATGTTTAAATGATTGCATTGTCCCTCAAAAGATCAACCAAAACATTTAGTATCATAAACATACATGGAAAAACTTTTCTAAATTACATCATATCTATAGCTCTTAAAGCATCATACAGCTTGCAATTAATCAAAATTGCAATTAGTCAAAAGGCTGCTCTGGTCTAATATTTTGGTTGTGATGAGTGTTTCACTATAATATAATGCAGCACTACATAAAAAACAAAAATGAATCATTAATTCTGTGATTTATTTTTTACCTTCTGATACCACCTTTTCTTCCTTCTTAGCGGCCTCAGAGGTCTAACTGTTCTCTCAAAAGTGATATCAGCAGTTTGACTCAGTTAACGTTGTTCTACATATAATTAGCAATAGTTGATTATACTTTAAGGCTTACCACTCTTTCCTAGTAAGTAATCTGTCTCTTCATCTTGCTTTTTGATGAAATTTGCCATTTGCTACACAAAATGAATCGAGATTATATAAGGATTCATAAATGCACATATTACGTTTATTTAGTGAATGAGTAATGTCATTACCTGTTTCATTATATTAGTGTCACTAGGCTTGCTTGACCTACATGCAACGAGTTCCATGAAGATATCATTACTTTTAAGGATATACTTACATTTAAATATAAAGATGAGAATTAAGCAACAAGCTTGGGCGAGGCTCAGAAGTCAGAACAAACAAGTGTTGATTATGAATAATCACTGCAATTTGATTCGTTGACCATGAATACAAATATATAGTGAATGAGAACTTTAACAATCAAAAATATGTTTCACATAACAAAATTAATCAGATAGAATCTTTATGCAATAAAATCATAAAATAGTGGTACTTTTTATAACAGTTAAACTACACAAGATGTCTAGGTGAATGTAGCTCTCTGTTAACATCAGTCAATGGAGGACTCATGAATGATCCCCACTCTCCATTAGGATTGTGCATACATGGCTGAGACTTGATGCTATACTGATACCTGTGAATCACATTTTGCTCATCTTCGGGAAAAATGACCACCAACACTTGCCTGTAGTTATATTGATAATAATATCAATAACTTTATAGTTGATAATCTAACCTATGCTGAGGTGGTATGTAGTCATCTATCTGAAGACCATTTCTTGATAGTTTGAGATTGATTGTGCCAGTAAAGTCTATGGATATTCTGTAGTGGTAGAACTTGTCATGATTCTCAATCACAACAAACCAAAGGGAGCGAGAAATATGAACATCGTACAACTTTAAGTGATGATTAAACTAAGCAACGAAAGATAAAATTGAATAGAATACTACTGTATGAGTACAAAAAATAACTTACACTTCTGAGTGTCCCTTCCTTCCTAGCCAACAGGAACAGTGATTCAGACAGATACCCTGGTTTAGTGGGTGCCCGTTCAACCCATTCAATCACTTAGCAGAAAAC